TTCTGCTCAGGGTGCGGCGCAGCCCGAGGGCGGCGCGAGGCCAGCGTTGGAGGCGATCGCCCGCGCGCAGAGAAAAGCTGAGTAGGACCCAAAGACACCTCACCAACCGCAGCCATGAACGGGACGGAAGGCCAAGACTTCTACGTGCCCATGTCCAACAAGACCGGGGTGGTGCGGAGCCCCTTCGAGTACCCCCAGTACTACCTGGCCGACCCCTGGAAGTACTCAGCGCTGGCCGCCTACATGTTCATGCTGATCCTGCTGGGCTTCCCCGTCAACTTCCTCACGCTCTACGTCACCATCCAGCACAAGAAGCTCCGGACGCCGCTCAACTACATCCTGCTAAACCTGGCAGTCGCCGACCTCTTCATGGTCTTTGGAGGCTTCACGACCACCATGTACACATCGATGAACGGGTACTTTGTCTTTGGAGTAACGGGCTGCTACATCGAAGGCTTCTTCGCTACCCTGGGTGGTGAGTTCTCCAAATACTCAGAAATTTTCTTCTGCCAGGAGTTGCCCTAGATTTCAGGAGAGGGAGAAGGTGGGGTGGAGGAGGGGTAGGAAGCCCAGAAGCCCTTGGAAAAGCGTGCAATGTCTAGAAGGTGCCTGGTCTGCTGCTGACTTGGCCTGAGGCAGTTATGGGCTTTCAGGGTGAGAGGTGAGCAAGGTGACAAATGAGATGGCTTTTTTTTTTTTTTTTTGGACCCTATTTTGGTATCCACCTGCTGGATATCCTGAAAACAACAGTTTAGCAATGAAAATTGATCAACAGCAGATTTTTTTCACTCATTAGATTTCACATATCTTTTTGGCTTGCTTTCTAACTTAAGAGATGACCAGTTTGCCCTTCCCGTTGTGTGAGGTTGTGTCTGTCGGTCTGTCTGATGCGGTGCGTGGCGGGGCAGGCTAACAGAGCTGTCTCTCCTGCCCATGCCAGCCAGGCTTTGGACGAAACAGATGTTAAACAAAAACTGCGTGTCTAAAAATGCCTACCTCTGTGCGGTTGAGCCTTCAGCCACGTGCAAGGCAACGGGTTTCCTGTTCCATGCTTGCCAGAGCCTGCCAAGGCGGATGAGCAAGCAGGAAGAAAAATCCTGCCAAAATGTTAGCAGTGGCCTTGTTATTGCTGTCCTTAAGGGAGAAGAAAAGGATCCTGTGGTCCTTGTTGCGTAGGTCTCCTGGGCAGCTGCGGGCAGTGAGTGGAAGTCTGGGATGGTTGGCACTCGCTGCCTCCCGGAGCGGGAGCCGGCAGGCCCCAGGGGCCGGGGGTCCCGGGGGGGGGGCCACTCACCTCGGACGGGTGGTTGGAGTCAGCCATGGATCTCAAAACACAGCAGCAAAGGGGTTACTATGGGGTGGGGGGTCGCTGGGGTGGTGAGGAGGTGAGTGCTCATGCCTTCCCAGCACATCTACGCTCCAGCTTTGTTCATTTATCTTTCCTGAGCCCTTGGCTGAGATTTACCTGCTGTTATGGGTCTTCCTTAGCAACAGCAGTCCAAGGAGGCCTCGTGTTGGCATCTGCACGTTTTTCTCCTGCTGGCTCTTGAGCTCCCTGTATCCCCATCTCTCTCTCTCCCTCCCTGGTGCAGGTGAAATTGCCCTCTGGTCACTGGTTGTCCTGGCCATCGAAAGATACGTCGTGGTCTGCAAGCCCATGAGCAACTTCCGCTTTGGGGAGAACCACGCCATCATGGGTGTTGCTTTCACCTGGATCATGGCCTTGGCGTGCGCGGCTCCCCCGCTGTTTGGCTGGTCCAGGTATGGCAGGGGCCGTGTCTGGCACAAGCGGTGGGAGCCAGGCTGACCGTGGCTCAGCCGTGGCTTTCCGGCGGGTCCCGTCCGCTGGGCGCTGACCTCCTGGCTCTCCTCCTCCTCGCAGGTACATCCCTGAGGGCATGCAGTGCTCGTGCGGGATTGACTACTACACCCTGAAACCAGAGGTCAACAACGAATCTTTCGTCATCTACATGTTCGTGGTTCACTTCATGATCCCGCTGATGGTCATTTTCTTCTGCTACGGGAACCTGGTCTGCACTGTTAAGGAGGTGGGTGCCTGCTGGCGGCGGCGGGCTGGGGGGTCCCCCCGTTCGCGGCGCTGGGAAGGGGCCGGGTGCCCCAGCGGGCTGCAGATCGGTGGCAGTGAGGGCCACGCCGAGGCCGGCACCGCCACCGTTTCCCTTGCCTTCCCCTGCAGGCCGCCGCGCAGCAGCAGGAGTCTGCCACCACCCAGAAGGCAGAGAAGGAAGTGACCCGCATGGTCATCATCATGGTCATCGCCTTCCTCATCTGCTGGGTCCCCTACGCCAGCGTCGCCTTCTACATCTTCACCAACCAGGGCTCCGACTTCGGGCCCATCTTCATGACCATCCCGGCATTCTTTGCCAAGAGCTCTGCCATCTACAACCCCGTCATCTACATCGTCATGAACAAACAGGTAACGGGCGAAGCGCCGGCCACGTTGCTGCTTTGTGTCTCGTTTTGCAGCGGCACCTCCGGCGGGTGCCCGGGAGCGCGGGGGGCTGCCAAGGGGGCTGCTTGCCGGCAGGTGTGCTCCTGCGCGGACGGG